TATGTCTGTCGATATATCGATGTTATCCAAAAACTACAAATTACATACTTCAGTTATTACTTCGTACTTATTTCTTTCGGTCACTTTAATGGAAGCACAGCTTTATAACAAAAGCTGTAATAAATTTAAACTTGCAAAGTGTAAAATAAAAATCTGTAGATTACTAATCTTTAGTGATTTCTTCAGAAATTCTTAAGAACCTATAAATTCATTGAGAAGATCTATATAAGCTCTGGAGAGTTAAAGAGCGTTAACATTTATTTAACGTGTACGTTTCGAGATAATGATAGTAAAATACTTTAAAGATCCTCATAATTATAAAAATATAAACCTCGCGTAGTCGTATATGTGATTCTATGTCCCTTTGTCAAAATCCTCATTTTTATCATCACTAAAATATAATTTCGTCGTTCATATACACCAGGCTGACTCATACGACGTTAAGATTACGAGACATCGCTTAAATTTTCCAGTTAAACGAGACTAGACTCACACAGACCAGTCTTCGATCCCAAATTACGGCCACTAGTTTAGTGTTTCTGAAACGAGTTTTATAAAACACTGAACGTAGTAATAACTGTATTAAGTTTTCGCAGGCAAATAAATTGATCCAGGTTCTGCGTATATTTACCAAATTATTCATACTTAGATTTCCATGTTTTATTTAACTCAGACTTGAAAATGAGGGTTAAATTTCAGACAAATATTTAGCAGACACAGGTTGCCCATGCCTGGTACAACCCCTGTAGACATAAAAGCTTTAATTCAAAATCAAATAAGAGCACATTATATGAAATGTGGTACTATCGACTGTTGCTAAATATCACACAGCTGCTGACGAACGGACCAAGTTAATAATTTATTCTGAAATATTTTAAAATTGAAGGCTGGCCTTTAAGAGTGAACGAATTTCAATCCTCATTTAAAGAATGTAATATTACGTAATTACCAGTGATACGATGTTTTCAAAATAAACGTCTGTGGACACGTTATAAGCTGCGTCTTCCTATAGTTACTTTATACGAGGACCGGCGAACGTAGCGGTCGGGTGTTTAGTTGGCACTCCTGCTTCGTATTCAGGAGAGCAAATACCGGCCCGATGACGGGATATCCTCACAGAGAAGTATTTTGTGGCTTTCCTCAGTCCTTCAGGAAAATACCGGTACTATACCTTAAATTTGGACACGACCTTCCCTTCACATTATAATTCATTATAAATTTATGCAAGAGGTTCTAAACCTTTAAAGACTTAGCACCATACTCGCCATTTTATGTCGATTCGTGGGTCGACTATTACAAAATGGCGATATACTTAAAACTTCGTGGCAATTTATTAAAGAATAAAACTAGGTTCAAATATAGACTATTATAATATTTGTTTCCTTGGCAAATTTGTCGAGTTATTTTATTAATTATTCATTTGAAATTAAAAATTTAACTTAGGAGACACTTATGTATTTGTTATACAATGTGATACGATTATTGTAAATCAGCGTGGGCCTCAACATTCAGACGGGCCTTGTGCGGCCAGCGAGTTGTTAACCCATGCTATGTAATCTACTGTCTCGTCAAACAAATCGCAAACAGCAGCTCCCCCAATTAGTTTGGGTATTTGACGTAAAGTAGCCACCTACATTTCTTCCCAGAAAGTCTTATTTTATTAATATTCATTTTTATTTTCATGATAATTATTTAATATTTCTGTGAACTATTACTCTGGTGTAATCGCCTTTATACCGTCTACCAGAATATATTTTCCAGAAAGAATAAAGTTTCAAATTCTGATCAGCGAGTCTACGAAAATTTCTATGGTCAACACTTGAAGATACACACTTCGTGACTCTTACTAGGACACGTCGAAACAAGCAGTGCTCTGTAAGCTGACGTAAGCAACACATTGATTCACCATAACATTACTGTTACTTTAGCCTCGTCACCAAATGACGGTGCATAAATATTACGTTAGTACGTACTCTCTCAAATAAGGAAGACTTCATCGCGATTATACGGACAGTATGACGGAACGAAATGGCTTTCACAAGTCAACGTGTTAGCCGCTGGCATCAAGCAGCTCAGACAAGAATTACGATCCAACTGCAATCAATGCGGAATTTTTAACCGGATAAAATGGAAAGAATTTTATATTTTTGCGAATACTGACCTTCCCATCTTTCCACAAAAACCTCAAATCCTACAATTGGCACATCTAACACTTTATCAGCAATGGCTTCCGTCTCATCGTATTCCTGTTGTTATGACAGCAACTGGCAGTCGGATACAACGCTGCTCTGACAACTAGTAATGTGACTGGACAATAGATGGCAACACTGAGCAGTCAGCTCTTGTCAAATTGCGTTAATACATTGTATGTGATTGACCAAAATACAAAAACAAAATATATTTGTTCAGTTCTTTTAGTAATGCTGTTACAAAAAAGCGATATTTTTGTTGTTGGAATGGAGGAAGTAGAGATTGGGTTTGAGACTTTAATCTCTCACACCATAAGCTCGGTACCAGATGAAGGCGGGTGGTAAGCTTCGCGTCTTGGCCACCGAAGTCCAGCGCCCATTGGGGAGGGGGCTAGGTGGGTTCCAGAGTTGGTCTGGACGTTGTGGCGAAGGCAGAAATTCTACCTTGTACGGAATAAATCCCTGGCTGTCTAGCCGTAGCCTGATGCTATGCTTCTGTGATTTCCTTATAATAAAAAAAGTTATCCACCGTGAATTCTTTTCTATTTCGTAGCCCCAGGCTATGAATTACGTTAGTCGAGCGTTAGTTTTCGTAATTCATAAAGATGTCGCTAGTTTGACCAAGCTGTGGAAACTGCTGTATGTTGTGGCAAAGATGTCACTTTTAAGCCTGAGACCGAACGTCGTGGTCGAGTGGTTAAAGCTCCCACTTCGTATACGGGAGCTCCCGAGTTCAAATCTCGGCCCGGAGACCGGCTATCTTGACTGGGGCGTTTCAAGGTTTTTCTCAGTCTCTCCTGGCAAGTACCTTGCAATAGAAATGCCACGACCGCTTTTTTCCACATACTTTTAAATTAATTCGACTCTTTATGGTCTGAATTATTAAAAAATCGTCGATATATAAACTATAAATAAATAAATTTGAATACTGAGAAGTAGAATGTTTATTATATTACCGAGATACCTGTCTGGTAACTTGTCAGATTGAGTCTAAATTTATAGATTCAGGTTTATAAACTACATTTCTTACAGCTGAAATTTAGAAGATGGACATCACACGTTTCGCAATTTTGTTTTCTAAAATTGGCAATGTTTCTTCCTTCCAATTCGCCAACGGAAGGAATGGTAAATAAAGGCTGTCACCATGACAGTTTCACAGAGTAGTTTGAACTTACCCAGAATATGCGCAGGAAGTGGTGCCTTGCGACTGAGTTTGTCTGGCCCGTAGAGGTCTCGTAGCTTTCGCCTGACGTAGGCGTGTAGCAGTTCGTAGAGGGGACGAACTTCCTCCCAGACGCCTTCCAGTTCGTACCGGAAAGTTGGCGACTCGTACGGAAACAGCCAATACTCTGCAGCATTCTTGAAATCTGGGACAAAAACGAAACGCCTGGCGCATTTCAATGCGGTAATTCCAGCAACCCTGTTCAAATATGCCTCTTATTTTGGTTTTCAAGTGCGTACTTCAACTTCATTTTCAGACACTGAGCGAAATGGAAAATCAGAGTCGTTTTAAAGTAAAGGACGGGACATAACCTCAATTATATCGCCATTGTGTGGTCTCCGCGGGAGATGATAATAATAAAATTAAATTATTTATTTAATGTGCTGCATTAACAGTCAAATAGTCGATTAGAAGTACAACACAGCACAAATTACATACAAATACAACAGTGAAGATTAAATCATTACAAAAAGTGTTACTTTAAAATACGCTAAATGGTTCATAAATATGTCGAAATCTTTGCACACCATTTTTTCGCTAGATGCTTACCAAGAGTAAGTTCGGAAAATCTCTGAAGTATCGACACAGAACGAATATGCCAACAGCCTCAAATCAGGGGTGGCACAATTTATAACCATTGTAAACATTAAGAACAAGGAGCACGTCTAATGGCGCATTCCATTGCATAAGACAATGGTTTACAAAAAAAATTTCTCGTTGCACCACTGGAACAAAAAATATTTCGCCCACCATAAGCTGTTTTAATCATCATAGGCGGAGATACTGGGGGAAGTTTTTGGTATTATTATAAGAGAAAATTTCCGTATATTTATTTCGCATTAAATATGATCCTCGAATTCCCCCATGGCCTCCCAAGGAAATCATGTCATCTTTGCCTACGTTAACCACAGAAGCCAACGGAGTGTAAAAATAAGTATCAGTACTCTGTAGAAAGAATGGGCCTGCGTGTTTGAAAGTACGAGTACAGCAACTCATTAAGTCAATTTTAAGTTCCAAAAAGTAGTAACACCTCTGTGACGAGTTGTGATTGGTCCAATTGTCATTTTTTCGTATAAATCCAAAGTTCAGGAAGAGTCAAAGGTTCAAACTTGACCTTGAGAGATGTATCACAGGGAAATTCCATAAGAGATTCCTTGACTTTTATAAAAATGTGATTTATTTTCTCATCGAATGTGACTCCGCATCCATTAATTTTTTTAAAAGGTTTAGTTCTGGAAAGTTATTTTTAAAATTGGGTCTCAATATTGACATGAGTCAGAAGACGAGGTTTAATTTCTTTAAATGATTGATCACTTGTTTCTAGTTATTCACTTATGTTGACAAAATTTTCTAGTTGGACATTTTCACAAAGCCTTCTCCTATCGTCGTCTTTTTCATGAACGCCGAAACTTTGTAAAGACTTCAACGGAGGGGTTTGGTCCGATGAACTCTTTAACATTTATGACAGATTGGCTGAAGGGCAAGCCACTTCTTACGTAAAAGGTGTTGACACAGTGGACACCCAGAATCCTACAAAAACCTACTACTTTCAGCTCAACAAATCGTTTAATAACTCTGCCCCTTCATAACCACTTCAACTACGAATATAATGCAATTTTGGTTCAAGGTCACGTGATGCTAAAGCCTCTCTATGAAAGATACAATGTATAAAGTTACGTGGGGACCGATTTGCTGTACTTATTTCTCTCAATAAAGTCATGCAAGACAATGTTTTTAAATATGCCACGATCATAATCGTCTATTAGCGCCTCGTTTAACATGAAATAATTCTCAAACGATATCGTGTCGATTCCCGGCGGTGCCCGAATTTATAACTTGTGTTGGGCAAGGCCGTGGTCTAGGCAACACGGAGTTTTCCTCCGGGGGCTTCCCCGGTTTCTCCGTGGCATCCCAACAATTACTCCATTCACACACAGAAGAAGGCAATGGCAAACCACTTGTGGATCATCTGCCAAGAACGTATATGAACAGGTCCCAGTCCGAGCAAAGGATGGAAGGATCCTGTTCATATGGACCTGTCGTCAGACAGAACACTAAATAAATAAATAAAAATAAAACACCTTCTATTCTTGTTCTACTTTTCTACTTGTAATCATCCTTTCGTAATTTCTTACCATGATGAATATTAGTTCGCTTCTAACGGCTAACAGACAGCGGAACACGTCACTGATTTCAAACACCAAATAAATTTGAAATAAAAGGTCTAGTGCCTTAAAGCGAATATCTCGTACGAAGTAGAATAAAATGTGTCAAGAATTACTTTACCGAACTTAGCAGTAAAGTGATAGCTTTTTCGTATTCGGGAAGTCATCATTTTGAATCTTGGCTGTGGTTCTTTTTTTTAAAAAATCGAGCATTATTTATCGATAACACTGCCGAAATATTTAAACGTCAGTTACAGTTTACTATAATTATTGACCGTTACTATAAAATTTCCAACAGCTCTGAATTTCATTGATATGGTGTTTTATGAACACGCTAAATTATAATCGCTCGTTCTCTGTCAAGTAAACTGAGACAGTCTCTGAGAAATAAGTTTCCTTCACAACAGAAACTTCCAATCAGTCGTGCTCGTACAACTGTTCCCAAAATTCATGGTGCTGCCATCTCTCGACGACTCTCAAGACTCATTGCAGTTACACAATGGACAGATTTTACGTCGGTATTAACTGTGGATTGATTGTACTCACGGTTAAGTTGTGCTGCCTGATTGCTGAGTTCGACGACTTGCTCGAACAGATCACGCATCTTCTGACCGGTCAGTCGTCGCCATTCTATCCAAGTTTGCTGTAATTCGTCCCAGTCTCTACTCCGTCCCATGACCACGGTCAGCTCTGTGTGTAGCAAATAATTTATGAATCGTATAATTTAATATAAAGATTAATGGACTGAATTACTATCTTTCGCCATTGGTGATGACCTCTTGAGGTCGAAAAGCGATTGGCACTAAGTGTTTTTAAGGTGTAAAAAGTTTTGTTTGCATGCATAATATTTATTCTAGATATATGGGCAAGCACTAGTTTCAAATCCAATTAAAGGAAAGATTTTCTTATGCTAAATTTTCGTGTTATTTCACGTGGATTGGATTGTGCCAAATCGTTCAGGATCACTTCAGAATCTTCAAATGTATGAAATGGAATTAATGTGTCATGGCAGACGCTTTGGATTTCGGGAAAGTGTAAATTCTTCGGGGTTTTCAGTGGAATTTGTAATCTTGTCTCAAATATCTAACCAATCAGAAAATCAGTTACATAAGTCTTTAGGGCAAGTGTTTGAAGAACTCGGATAAGATTCAAAGAATCATACCATAATCAATCGATATTAATAAACTAATACGTTTCCAGCTCTCCGTGTATGTATTATATTTTTCTTTATTCCATTTAATTAGATTACCTTCACCCATCTATTTTTAGTGGACGATAAGAGACCCATTAACACTAATTAATATAACCGGAACAGGAAGTCAGCCTACATCAAGCCACGAACAGAAGCAGAAGGTCGGAATGACTATCAGACAACGTGAGATTTATAAGTGAGTACGAAGATGGCTGTCTTCTGGGTTGTTACGCCGTGTAGGCTGATAGAGGTTCTAGCTGCCTCCATCATCAGTGCGATCTTTCGGATGATAGAGGTTGCAATCAGGCTAAAAAGGCTCATATCTCGGTCACCGTGTTCTCGTTTGTGAAAATTCAATGAGATACGAAGTGGAATGTACAGATAAACATACCATTTTAGGACAGTGATATTTTGGAAGTTTAGATGTGCTGATCGTGTGGCTAGACTAGGGGAGACAAGAAATGTGTACAGAATTTTTGGAGAGAAAATATTAGACAAATGTCCGCGGAGGTGATAGCTAATATCAAAACTAGTCCTTGTGAGGGAGATAAGTTGTGAGAACGAAAGGTAAACCTAACTTAGAATCATGTCCTGTGTTCGTGTTGTAAAACCTTCAATTTATGTAACTGTCCGTTATTTAGCGAAGTTACGCAGAGCGTCAAGACTTCAAGCATACCAAAGTTTAGATCCACAAAAGTTGCTTTATGTCACACCTTATTTTCTGAGCATAGACTTGCATTAGCTCGACCCCTGCATTTGACAGCGAGTAAGGTAAAGAGGACTTACCTGGTTCAAGCCGGAGACCGCATCGAAATGGTTCATTGTATGCACAGGTGGTGGCGCCGTTCAACACGGACAGCATGTCGTTGATTAGCTTGTTGTACTGAAAAAAATCACATTTTCTAAACTGACCTTGAATCATTAGATTACGTCACAGAATCCATCCGGAAGTAATCGGTAACAAATACGAGAACTTGATAAAATTATACAGAGCTAGTCTAAATGATGTTCCCGATTTTAAACACATGTTAGTCACGTTTAATGAAATTCAGATGCACGAAATTGGTACCGATGGAAAGAGAAACTCTCCAAGTTTAAGTTGGTATACTTCGCGACCGAGTAGTAACACTGTTCGACGCCAGGGGCGATATGAGAGAAAATGGCTGCCATCGAAGACAGGGGAGCCTTTTGTGTCCTAGATTTCCACGTTCATCGGTCTGTTATTAGTGTGCAACGGCATTTCCGAACCAAGTTTGCGGCAGATCCACCCAGTGGGCATAAAATTCGTAAGGGGTATTCCGAATTTAAGAAAAGGGGCTGCATCTGTAAGAGAAAGTCAACCGGCCGCCCGTCAGTAAGCG